CTGGAGCAAGAATCCTCAACCCTTATGGCAGAAGATGGGTCACACCCTTCCAAGCCAAAGATCCCCAAGGTTAGAATACCTAAATCAATCTGGCAGCGACTTTGTGCCCCTTGGAAAAATGCAGTAATTATCAAGCTCCTAGGGAAATCTGTCAACTTCCACAGTTTACACTCACGATTATTGAAAGAATGGCGAACATAAAGTGAATTCGAAGTCATTGATGTGGGTTTGGGCTATTATATTGTCAAATTTTCTTCCCCACAGGATTGTGCTATGGTTTTAACAGGAGGGCCATATAAAATGTTTTATCATTATTTGGCCGTTCAACCTTGGGAACCAGGTTTTCATCCAGCAAGAGCAAAAGCCCCCAAGACAGCAGTGTGGGTTAAATTACATGGTGTTCCAATAGTTTGCTTTCATGAGGCTATTTGTCTTTATCTGGGCAGTAAAATTGGTAGACCGATCAAAGTTGATCCAACAACCCTCCTTGCTGCCAGAGGAAAATTTGCAAGAGTCTGCATTGAAGTTGACCTCAGCCAACCACTCCCATCATCCGTGGACCTAGACTTAGAGGAGTTACCTCAATCTCTCATTTCGGTGGAATTTGAAGGCCTACATAAAATCTGTTTCCAGTGTGGGGAATTTGGTCACACAGAGAACTATTGTCGTTTTAAGAATCCTGGGAAGGCCTCTCCCGTTGGCAACCCCAGGTCAAAGGCTATGATCGAGTTAACTCAAACTTTAAAGCCAAATCCGGAAGAAAATGATATGACTTTTGGCCCGTGGATGGTTCAGCAAAGGAAGCCACGACGGCAGCAGCAACCTTGCCGCTCAGTCGAGCCGTTAGCCGGCAAACCTACTATCTCCCCAAAAGTTCAGGATCCACATAAACCCGTTACCAAAAACCAGGCGCAATCCTTGGCCCCTAAGATTATTGCCAATTTTGGTTCCCATGAATCAAGGAGCAATCGTTTTGCAGTGATGTCAGAGCTAATGGGGGAAGAGACAGATTTGCTAAATTCAAATATGGTGACTGAACCCTCGCTGGCGGGAAGCTCGCCTCAGACTGAGGAGTCCACATAACAAGTTAAGCCAATGGACATTACTATCCCAAGCCCTCCCCCTGCTCCATCAACGGATTTTGTCAAGCCTCAACCCAAAAGAAGAAAGGCAAAATCTGGGGGCCCAATCCCTAAAGATTCTAAACCTACCATTCCCAAGCCTTACCAGCCCTCACAAGGCATTAACAAACAAAAAGAACCTTCCTCTCTATTGCCCACAATGGCAAAAATTAGGAGTAACAAGGTGCCAGTGCCAAGATCTACCTCTTCAATGATTGAAGTACACCCCCAACACTACCCATTATCATTAGCACCTGCTCCAGACCAAAATCAAGTACCAGTGCTTGCCTCAGTTGACTCAGCCATCATGGTCAAAATTCATCCACCCCAGGCTGCGAACTCAATGCAGCCGACTCTCACAACACCGTCTAATTAAATGAAGATTGTGACATGGAATAGTCATGGTGTTAGGCATTCTCCCTTTAGGAGGGAATGTAAAGAATTACTTAAAATGCAGAAACCAGATATTATTTGCTTTCTGGAAACAAAGGCAGAGGCTGACTCACCAGATCTCCCCTTCATGTCGAGACTTGGTTACGATAAACAACACAGAGTTCATTCTTTGGGAAGAGCAGGTGGTTTATGGTTGTTTTGGAAATCCTCCTTAGTGGATTTAGAGGTGTTATCATCCAACAACCAAGCCATTCATGGCTTTGTTAAACTACAACGTCTTTCCTTCTTCATTACTTTTGCTTATGCTCAGCCACACACTGTAATGAAAAATGAGTTCTAGTCGTTCCTACACGACTTAGCCTTATCTACTACTGAAAGTTGGGTTGTGATGGGAGACTTTAATGACATAGCTACTGTTGACGAAGCCTCACCTAGAGCAGTGCATAGATTCACTAGTGCTCGTCATTTTCGGGAACACCTAGAAGCTTGT